CTACTGGTTGTACATAGAGTGGATGGTTGACTGCTTGTACCATCTAAACCATATATGTTCCCAAACTTATTTGGCCCACCACCCCCTTTTTAGAAAAAAAAATTAATCAGTGCTCCCTGGCAATAAAACCTTTTATAGTATAACCTATAATTCAGAATAAAGTATAGGTATCTGTTTTTGCATAGTCAGGAGACAAGATTACCCACTCTGGGAAATACTGATCTAAATGAATTAATATGCCTGGAAACCATACTTGATTCCTTTTTTACCTCCTCTCCCACATATAATCATTAACTACATTTTAAAATATATACAGCTATCTAAAAAGGTTCTTCATCTCTTATCTATTACTTTGTCATGTTGTAGTGGCTATGATGCTGGAAGATATACCACCAGTATTTCAAATACCAGCAGGGTTATCTATAGTAGATAGGTTTCAACAGAGCTTCCAGACTAAGATAGATTAGGAAGAAGGAATAGGCTGTCCACTTCTGAGGGATTAGCCACTGATATAGTGTCAGAAAACGAGCCACTCATGTTGGAAGGTACTCAAAACACAATGGGGAAGAGTTGCCACCTCAAAGTAGGGTTAACCTTAATGACATAGAGGAGGCAAAGATTTAGGGACCTTCATTTAAAGAGTATGACACAAAATGAAAAAAAAAATCTGGCTGCAAATATCCATTACTAATTGGAATGTGATCGGTTCTCCCTTTCTTAAGGGTTCATCTGACCTGGATTCCCTGTGTTTCCAGTTCCTATCTGTACCAATGTACATCGTCTGGTCTAGCCATATTTGTGAGATAGAATTGGGATCATGATAGTGGGGGGAGGAAGCATTTAAGAAGTAGAGGAAAGTTGTATGTTTCATCATTGCTACACTGCACCCTGACTGATTCGTCTCCTCCCCACAACCCTTCAGTAAAGCATCTACATGTAACCTCTTCCCTGGGGGATGGACAACAGAAAAGTGGGTGAAGGGAGACATTGGACAGTGTAAGATATGACAAAATAATAATAATTCATGAATTATGAAGGGTTCATGAGGGAGGGGGAGCGGAAAGGAGGGAGAAAAATGAGTAGCTGATATTAAGGGCTCAAGTAGAGAGCAAATGTTTTGAGAATGATGATGGCAACAAATGTACAAATGTGCTTGATACAATGGATGTATGTATGGGTTGTGATAAGAATTGTACGAGCACCCAATAAAATGACTTAAAAATAATAACTGGAATGTGAACTGTACATAGTATGAATCTTGGAAAACTGAAAGTTGTCAAAAGTGAAATAGAATGCATAAAAATCAATTTCTTAAGCCTTACTAAATACTAAATAGCAAACTAAAATGGACTGGTATCTACCACTTCTAATCAGACAATTATGCTGTTAATGTTTTTAGGTGCTATCGAGTCGGTTCCAACCAATAACAATCCTATGTGCAACAGAATGAAACAGTAGGTGTTCCAGTGCAATCCTCACAATTGTCCGGTGCTTGAGCCAAATGTTTTAGCCGCTGTCCATCCATCTTGTTGAGGGCCTTCCTCTTAGTCACTGTCCCTCTCCCAAGCATGATGTCCTTTTCCAGACACTGGTCTCTCTGGATGACATGCCTAAGGCACCTAAGACAAGTCTTGCCATCCTTGCTTCTCACAAGCAAGGCTACACTTCTTCTAGGACAGATTTGTTTGTTCATTTGGCAGCCCATGGTACTTTCAACATTCCTCCCCAGAACCATAATGCAAATGCATTGGTTCTTTTTTGGTCTTCTTTATTCAATGCCCAACACTTGCAAGCATATTGAAAATACCGTGGTTTGGGTCAGGCACCTCCTTGTTTTTTATTACTTATTAAATCAGAGGAATGACATCAAATTCATGATCAAAAAGAACATTTCAAGATCTATCTTGAAGAGCAATGCTGTCTGTGATAGACTATATATTACAGGGAATATCGACTAATATGACTTTAACTCAAAATAAAGTCAATGAAGAAAAAATGGAAGAATGCTTCATTTTCCTCATATGCATTTGAAAGATGGATATTGAAATAAGAAGCCCAAGGAAATATCAATACATTTGAATTATGATGGTGAAAAATGTTGCAGGGACCATGGACTGCCCAAAGAACACACATCTGTCTTGTAAGAAGTACAGACAGAATGCCCCTTAAACAGAAGGATGGTGAAATCTCATCTCATGTACTTTTTGACATGCTATCAGGTGAGACCAGTCCCTGGCAAAGGACACCATGCTTGGTAAAACAGAAGTGTAGTGTAAAAGAGGAAGACTTTTTACAAAATAGATTGGCACAGTGGTTGCAACAATGAGTTCACACATAGCAAAAATTGTGGGGATGGCACAAGATTCACAGTGCTGTGCTCTGTTGTGCATCAGGTCACTATGAGCTGGAATGCTGAAAGTACCATGGGTTTCCAGAAGAACAAACAGACTTGTCTTGGAAAAAGTACAGCCAGAATGCCCTTGAGAACCAAGGTTGGGGAGATGCTATCTTAAGTACTTTGGACCAGTTAGTTATCAGCCCCTGTGGAAGGACATCATGTTTGGTAAAGTGGAAAGTGAGCAAAAAAGAGGATGACCCTTAACAAGATAGATTGACACAGTGGGTCCAACAATGGACTCAAATATAATAATTGTGAGGATGACACAGAATCGGGCAATGTTTTGTTCTACTGTACATAGGGTCAGTAGGAGTTACTAGCACCTAGAGAAAAACAAAACAAAATAACATGCTCTTCAAAACTTCTCTCTGTTCTCACTTTGATTAATTCGTTTGTTGGTAGCTGCCATTTGAGTCAGACTCCAACTCATGGTGACCCTGTGCAGCACATTTGGTTTTGGTTTTTAGATGGACTCAAAACACTAACCGGTAGCAAACTTTTGATTCTATAATCTACTACACATGTAAACATACACAAGTATTATGCACAAAGACAACACAGAGACTAGATATTCCTTAATGAAATTAAATAATAAAATGTGAATGAAAACACAATGATCTTATTAAAAACAATGTGAAATCCAAAATAATTCTAAAAGGAACATATGTAATCATTAACAAAAAAACTGATACTAAAAATAGAAGGTATTGCCAGACATCATAAACCTTTTTCCGTCATGTGTGTATATCTATCTGTAAGCTGCATGCTTCTAATTGAAAGGAACCAATATAAACTTTTTCTTCCTTCTGTAGTCAACGTTAGAGTGTACTGAGAAGTGTGTTTTTCTGCCTTACCAGATTCTGACTTTCTTTTACTTTCAAACATTATAGAACAGGTTCTGTTTTATTGATTGAACTTCAAATAATATGGCTTTAAAGGTAAGCAACAGGTTGGGAATTACAGATCAGAATATGAATAAGGATCTATACTGGGACCGAAAAAAACCCAACTCACTGCCACTGAGTCGATGCCGACTCATAGCAGCCCTACAGGACAGGGTACAACTGCCCTTGTAGGTTTCAGAGTCTGTGATTCTTTACAGGAGTAGAAAGCCCTCTCTGGCGTGGGAGTGGCTGGTGGTTTTGAACTACAGACTTTAGGGATCACAGCCTAATGCTTAGCCACTACACCACCAGGGCTCCCCTACTGGCACAATATTCCCTAAAATTTTTACTTCTGCATACTATATTACATGAAGATGGGGTAGTCCAATATGTAATACTCTATAATAACGGCTCTTTGCACTAAAACAAACTAGAAGGAAAAAGAATGTATCTTCTGCCTAAATCTTTAATTTGATGTATATAAAAAAAACAATGTGTGTCGTAGTAAAGACATAAAGCTTTTTTACACGAGTGTCATTGGATTTGTTTCTCTAGTCAAACTATATCACCGTCTAACACATGTCTAAGCAAAATTCAGCTAGGAAACCAATATTGATTTTGTGCTTGCTTTAATTAAATATCTTCATCATTTTTCATTTTGTCAGTTTTTCAGATATTATTATATAATGTGAAAGGTAGACAACACATGCAAAGGCAATGTATTTGATTTTGATTTGTTAATTTTGACAGTTTGAATCCACTTGAGTCCATTAATGCATAGAAGATTTTTTCGTAATGATTAGAGCCCTGCAAGCCATATATTCAGTAACAACATAAAATGACTTGAAATAACATGCACCTTATATGTTACCTTACCCACACTATATCTTTTTAAAGCACTTTCCTATTTAGTCCTCCTATCTCTCATCAAAAGAATACAAATGACATTCTTTTCTGAATTATGAGCAGGATTTAACTGAAAATGGAGAGTTAGGTCACTGTGAATTCTTGGTCCTTTTCATCAGGGATGAATTTATCTTTGGCCGAAGTCAAATAATTTTAACAGACTCTAATTTCCTTGAAAAAGCAATTGATATTACAATTAATCTTGGATTAAAGAAATGAATGACAGCCTGGTTTCACGTCAATCTCCTTAACAAACCTCTTGGTTACTTATGAACCTCCTTTTAAAAATGACATTGTATTGGATCCCTGATGGTCAAAAGGATGAGGAAGGCAGGAAATGGATTGGAAAACCTCCTAATCCTAGAGAAGAAAGGCGGGCCACTTCTTTTCACTTCAAAGGAAGCAGCAGGAGAATAAACCCCAAGCCGAAAGTGGAGGCGCGCTACAATCCCCCGTTTCCATATGTCATCCCCATACTCCCACGGGATTTATTTACTAAGGAAAAAGGAAGAGTCAGGAGGAAGCAACAAAAAAGCCGCGGTTTAGGCCGCCCCCTCCCAACAATGCAGCAAGGAAACCATCTCCTGGTGCAGTGGGCTTCCTGCCTGGCCAGGTAGGAGGCTGTAGCTCCGTGCACACGCCCAAAGGCCCTCTGCTCTTGGCCCGATTTACCTTTTCCTCCCCTCTCAGCGGATTCCCTGCCCGTCTCCCATCCGCATTTTTAAGCGTCTAGCTTCGCGCAGAAACACCTCCTGGCCACCACCCCAATGACAGCGCCAGGGCCAGGCACACAGCTTGGGGGGAAGTGTCACCTTTTCAGATATCTGGCGTCCTCCCCTTGCATGGCGGCGGCGGCGGCGGCGGCGGGCAGATGAGTGATCTGAGGAAAGCAGGCAAGGCTATTTCCAGGGACAGTGGCCAAGGGACCCCCACACCCAAAGGTGATGACAGTCCTGGGGCCTGCTAGGCGGGGCGGCGAGGCTGTGGTTACCAAGGTGAAGGCCGTCGGCTCCTCCCACAGCACCAAGGCTCCCAGGCGCGGCAGCAGCGCAGACCCGCCCAGAAGAGCCTCCGCGGGGGCCGCCTCAAGGCGCATGCGCCCGTCCCGCACTGACGTGCGCAGGCTCCGCACGCCGGCTCTCAACCAATCCGACGCCGCCTCTCAACCAATCCGACGCCGCCCTCGAGCGTGCGGCGTGAAGGTTTTGGTTCCCCTGTAGGCTTCTGCAGTAAAGATGGGTCTCCCAAACACCACGTACTTGAGGATGGGAATCGAGTGTTCTAGTCTGCATGGGTAGACTTTCAGGTAATTAGCTTGCAAAGGGTAGAGAGGAACCCATTATTTCACCTGTATTGAGGTTTTTAGGGGGACAATGTGGATAAACTGACAAATCTGTCATTTTCTGCCTTGGTATCCTAAATCTAGAATCAAACACACACACACACACACACACACACACACACGCACACGCACATTCACCTGTATTGAGGTTTTTTAGGGGGACAATGTGGAAAAACTGACAAATCTGTCATTTTCTGCCTTGGTATCCTAAAACTAGAATCACACACACACACTCACACACACACACACACACACACACACACGAAAAGAAGAAGAGGAAACAAACAGCTCCTGAAATTCCAGGTCCCCTACTAATTGTTCCTAACTCAAGATACTTTTAGAATGGTTTCCTCTGATAAAGGTAAATGTTGGGGATACAGATCATGGGGAATGGTGCTGTTTTAAAACAAAGCAAGTAAGTGTCTTCTGTTTTCAGATCGGTTCTTAGGAAGTCAGCTATCATACCTGTGCATATACCTTAGATTCACTGTTTTAAATCCCTCAGACCTGGAACACTGCAATCCTTTCCTGCCTGGTTTTCCTTGTGTCTGTCTTTCCCAAATACTCATTCTGCAAACAGATATACTTTTTAGGTAACACCATTCATGGCACCTTTTAAAGCAATATAGCTAGATTACTTGAAAACCACCATCATGCCTAAAATTGATAGGTCAAATGTATTATCTAGCATAATGCACAACTACTATAACATGCATTATTGTAGTGTGAGCTCCTGGATAATAGAGAATTTGTTCAGTTCTGCATGCTGGAACAATACCTGACCTATAGTTGGCACTGAATAAATATTTGGTACTGAAAAAAGGATACCTGAGCTTGTATAAACAAATAAAAACTTAGATTAATATCTGAGGCCAGAAAGAAAAAAAGAGGTAAAAACAGAAATAATAAGCTGACAAACTGAGACTGAGCTTTCAATTTCTAGTAGGAAAGCTAACACGTGACCCACAGGTTGAGAACTGCTGTATAGATACATGGGATTTTGACAAAAGGTCACTGGTCTTAAATAAGACAAATTGAGCATAAAGAGCATAACTGCTATAGATTATTTACTGCATTTAATTAAGAAAATCCTGGTATCTTTATTCATAGTTAAGAACACATAAAAAACAAGAACAAAAAAGCAAACACAAACTACTTTCATTGAAGGAGACTACTGCATCAAATCCTTATGCTGAATATGAGCCCTTAAAATAATTAAGCATTCACAATCGGCAGACCCAGGAAATAACCAGTAGTGTCAGAGAGGAAATAGTCCTTAGAACAATCACTTACATGAGATCAAATGGACGACATTTATTTCAAAGTAAAGAAGGGAAGGCAGGAAGGGGTAGAAAATCCAGACAAAATAGCAAATCAGGGGAGAAACAGCGAGAATGCGACAGGTTTCTGGGAATGTAACCAGTGTCAGGGAACACTTTATGTAGAAACTAATGAATGGGAAACTAATTTGTTAACTTTAACCAAAGGCATAATTTGTAAAAAAGAAAGAAAAACCAAGAGTTTGACACGTAACCCTACCCTTTGGAAAGCCACTGTAATTCACCTCTGCTTGATAAAGGAAAACTCTTCTTTACAAAACATGTCTGCTAGAATAGTCAAAAGCAATGATAAAAAAATTATTTAAAAAGTAGTGATACTATTTTACAAGTCTCAGTTTATAAAGGATTCAACTGTGCATCCTTAGATTTATTCTAAAATGTTGGGGAAAGGATTTTCACAGGGTGGCAAAGTTTTCCCCTACAGAGTACGAGGTAGTGCTAAAATGGAGAAAAAGGAAATCACATGGCGAGATCTGTCAGCACGTAAAAGAAACAAGCAAACTTAGCATCATTCCCAAACCAAATTTATTGCCGATCAATCAACTCTGATTCATATCAACCTTACAGGATGGAGTCCGTCTCCCTGTATTACTCTGGCTTTTTCCTGTGGAGCGGGTGGCCAGTGGTGCTGACCTTTCAGTTGGCAGCTGGCCCCTTTATTACTGCACCATCAAGCTCCCCTTAGTGAGAGGAGAGTGAAGGAGGGTATGATAGTAAGTCCAAAGAGTGTTGTTACAAAATTATAAGAACCTTTATTATACAGAAATATGAAAATGTGCCACCACGTATCTGTCAAATTGTCATACTGTGGGGGTTTGTGTTTTGCTAGGATGTTGGAAGCTATGCCACTGGTATTTCAAATGCCAGCAGGGTCACCCAAAATGAACATGTTTCAGCAGTCCTTCCAGGCTAAGAACAGACAATGAAGAAGAAATAGGCTGTTGACTTCAGAGGAATTAGCCACCAAAAGCCTCATGAATAGCAGATGATCATTGTCAGAGATAGTGCCAGAAGGTGAGCCTCTTAGATTGGAAGATACAAAATATAACTGAGGAAGAACTATTTTCTCAAAGTAGAGTCGACCATAATGGCATGGATGGAATAGTCTTCAAGACCTTCATTTGCTCATTGGGCTCAGCTCAAAATGAGAAGAAACCGCTGCAAAACCCTTTTAGCCATCAGAACTTGTTAGATGCCATCCAGTTGTTTCTGACTCATAGGGACCCTGTGCTCAGCAGAACGAAACACTGCGCCATCCTCAAAATTGTTCCTATGTGTGAGCCCATTGATGCCACCACTGTGTCAATCCATCTTATCAAGGGCCTTCCTCTTTTTTGCCCCTCACCTTGACCAAATCATTTTAGGGACTAGTCTCTCCTGACAATGTGTCCAGCGTATGTAAGGCGAAGTCTTGCCATCCTTGCCTCTAAGGAGAACTCTGGCATAACTTCTTCCAATACAAACTGGTTTGTCCTATGAACAGTCCATGGTACTTTCAGTATTCTTCTCCAGCACCAAAATTCAAAGGTATTGATTCTTCTTTGGTCTTCTTTATTTAAGGTCTAACTTTCACATGCATATGAGCCAATTGAAAATACCATGGCTTATGGCTTGGGGCTGGCATACTTTAGTCCTCAAGGAAACATCCTTGCACACTTGTGCAAACAGAACAAGAAAATAATGCATGGTTTAAAATCAAGAAAAGTGCATCATGGTTGTAGCCTCTCATCATAATTGTTCAATCTGTATACTAAAAAGATATGATATTAGAATGGGAGAGAGGCTTATTAACAACCTCCAATGTACAGATGACACAGCCTTGCCTGCTGAAAGTGAGGAGGACTTGAAGCACTTGCTGATGAAGGTCAAGGATTACAAGTCAATGCAAACAAAATAAAAATGCTCACAAGTGGGCTGATAAGTAACATCATGATAAATGGGAAAAAAGGTTGGAGTTGTTAAG